TACGAGAAGAAGAAAGGCAACCCCGAAAATGTCCAAATGGTGAGTACAATTATATGTTACATTCATTAGGCTATCTCTCACACATATGATATCATTATAATATTAATCTATAATGAAAATAGCTCGAGTTAGGAAGACGCGTGGGCAGTGTGCACGCACATAAATATGGTTTTCCCTTCCAACAGCATAGCACGTCTTGCGGCACCTATTCGACTCTCTTCGTTTATCAAATAGTTATTTATTTACTTATTATTCTGCGATATCTACAAAAAAAATGCTATATTACATATTTTACTGTCTTATCGATATATATCAATTATGATACGTATGTTGAGCGAGACGATGAGCTAGTTGTTTCCAATTTATTTTGCGAAGCGCCTTACCGTGATAAAAAAATTGTGTTATATTTACTGTAAGCATTTGTACACATAGCTTACTACAGAAAGTATTGTAAAACTTAAGCATAAGATATATGCGCTAGTCTTACTTTATGTAAGTAAGATATGTCGGGTTGGGTGTTAAGTCAAAGTCAGAGACAAAGACTTAGGACACGTGCACGTGCCAGAGAGGGAACAAGAGAATGTGGCGGAAGACACAGTGGCGTCCAGATTGGAACACCCCCTGACTTTTAAGGTGAATGCACAATGCTCTGAAATCTCTGTGTTAATTAAATCTTTTTATTTACAGTACGCGTACGATATGTGAGTACACGTTGCTAAAAAGAAAAAACCATAATGCTTAACGAAAGCTAAAAGAAACATAGGTATAAGATTTACCCGCCGATAAGTCCAACCCAGTTGTAAGCTGTTCTAAAATGCGATCTGAAAATCCATTATCACAGGTGTTCGATCAAGGTCTGAAAGCTATTTCGTTAAGTGTCGACCTATGGCTTCATTACATCAACCACTGTAAAACCGTCCACGAAAAGGATGAAGAAAAGCTCCGGGAGCAGTATGAGAGGGCTATACAAGCTTGTGGACTTGAATTCAGGTAACAAATTTAAAAATTTCTTTTAAATGCATTTAAAAATATAAATATTAATCATTACGATTTTATCAAAAATAGTTAATTTATCAGTTTAATATTTTAGTTGCAACAAGCAAATATAATTCTAATGATAAATGTTTAGCAGAGAATGATCATAATTGTAATCTGTAAAACAGATCGGATCGTCTCTGGGAGAGCTATATCAAGTGGGAATTGGAGGGGAAACGTTTGAGCAGAGTGACAGCACTGTATGATCGCTTACTGTCGACGCCTACCCTTGGCTACATCTCCCACTTTGAGGCATTCCAGGAATTCGTATCGTCCAATCTGCCGAATCGTATCCTAAGTGTTGATGATTTTCTTGCGCTACGTGCTGAAGTGAAGGCTCTTCTCAAGTCGGACGACACCACCGCGACATCCGCTGCCGATGACGCGCCACCCGGTGAGGAACCGCCACCCCACGAAGTGCCGCCTACCGACGAGGAGACACGTGCCATCCGTGAGAAGATCATTAGTAGCAGACGCAAAATGCATAAGGCGAATGTCAACGCGGTGGCAGCGAGATGGTCTTACGAGGAAGGGGTGCGTATCACACATTCAATTGCATTCAATTATTTATACTCTAAAAAACAAAAAAATATATGTAAATATTAAATGAGACTTTTCAATTTCATTGCATTGAAATGCTGTAAACAAAACTCACATTTCAATTCCTCTCACTGTAGTTCTAGAATTACCTATTCACGCAGTAATATGGATCCATTGTAATCCAAAAGTCAATCTTTTACAATGTTTTACATAGTAAGTAAAAAAATATTTTCCGAATTAAAAGATCTCGAATAAATTGAACAAATTCACACATTGAACAGATAAAATTTAAATTAATTAAGATCTATAAGACAATAATTGTATTGCATGTATGATTAACAGATAAAGAGACCATATTTCCATGTAAAACCATTAGAACGGTGCCAATTGAAAAACTGGAAGGAATATCTTGATTACGAAATTGAACAAAAAGATCAAAATCGAATAATTATATTATTCGAAAGATGTCTTATTGCCTGTGCACTTTATGATGAATTTTGGATGCGAGTAAGTAAATATCAATGTATAAATATCTTAATTATACAAGTTATATAGTTGTAATATATAAATTTATAAATTTTATACATTTGCGATTTTTTTCTTTTGTACAGTTTGTACGCTACTTGGAGTCATTGAAGGGTGATAACACAGAAAAGATACGAGATGTATATTCAAGAGCTTGTATGGTACATCATCCCAAGAAACCGAATTTGCATTTGCAATGGGCGATCTTCGAAGAGGGTCAAGATAACTTTGAAAAAGCCGCCGATATATTAGAGAATATCGATAATGCATTACCAAATATGCTACAAGTGGCGTATCGACGAATAAATTTGGAACGTCGTCGCGGAGACTTGGAGAAAGCGTGTACATTATACGAAAATTACATTAGCAATAGCAAGAATCGGACAATTGCTAATAATATTGCTGTGAAGTACGCGCGGTTCCTATGTAAAGTTAAAAATGATGTTGACAAAGCAATTAAAGTATTAATGAAGGTACATCAAAATAATTTTTTTATCAACTACTGCTATTACATGTGTGCATTTGGCGAGATTAATATATTGTCGCATTACTTACAGGCCACAGATAAAGACAAAGATAATCCTAGACTGTATCTGCAGTTAATAGACTTGGCAATGCAACGAACACCAGTCGACACTCTAGAAATAGTAGGTTACATGGACATGTTTATAGAAAGAGAACATGCAGATCTCGAACAGAGAGTGCTTTTCGCACAACGTAAAGTAGAATTCTTAGAAGATTTTAGTCCTGACATTCGACAAGTGTTGAAGGCTCATGAACAATTCCAGAAATGTATCAAGCAAGCGAAAGAAAGGAAGAAGACGAAGGGTGACGACAATAAAACGTAAGTGTTTTGTAAAGAGCCTAAAAAGAAGACATAATTAACAAAATAATTAGAAGCAATATTATCTTACAAAATACTTATATACTAATTTAAACAATATATTTACATAACTAAATTTAATTGGCTCTGTAATAATCAAATAATAGAAACTAATAGGGCTAATAAGAGCCGATATCCATGAAAAGAAGGGAACCGAAACGTTGAATAAATAATGGATGATCTTAGACCTATTTTGCGTCCGTTTATTTTTAGTACATCTCTCCATGGACATCGGCACTTATTAGCCCTATTAGTTTCTATTATATGATTATTATAAATATAACTAATTTATCATTCCTGTTTTATTGAAATTGATTAAAATAATTATACATTATATATATATTTACAGAATTTGTTTATATTTATATTGAAATTGTACTTTTAATTAAAAAATGATAATTTAATAAAAATGATTATATAACGTTCATGTTACAGCGATTCTTCGCCTCCAAAGAAAGTGAAAACTGATCAATCAAATGTGCCACCTCCTCCGTCCGTGGGTTCACAATCTTCATACCAGTACAGCAGCGGTCCGAGTGGGCCGTATCAATCGCAACAACAATTTCAGGGTGGACAGTATGGTGGTCAGGGTGGTTATCAACAGGGTTACCAGCAGTATCCACCTCCATCGGATCCCAATTATGCCAATTATCAAAATTGGCAGTACGGTCAAGGCGGACCACAAGCTTATGGACCTTACAATCAGTGGGGATCTTACAATTATTATTAATATGAATCGTATAATCGCTCTTAAGGCTTCTGAAACTTCATTGTTAACTGTATGTGTCTGTACATTCTTCAGTGTTTTATTTTTGCAAATATTTAGAAATCATCAGAGACAGAGAAATTATTAATTACATTTAAGAGTATCATCTTGGTATCCTTACATAATAAGAACTTGTATATCAGTCTGTTTCTGTATCAATATTTGACGTCTTGCATGAATATCATGTATATCGAATAAACTGTATACCTGTTAGCAGAATTTTACTCCTGGTACGACTTGTATTTTTTTATTCTTGTATTTCTTCATTCAAAGAAAATTAATTATCCAAATTTAATTCTTATAAAACTTCAATACTAATAATTTTACATTAATTTGTATATTAAAAATTAGAATATTTTATATTAAAGCAAAAAATATCTTAAATACGGAAGATTAAATATAAATAAGAGTAGATCTGCTACTGGTATGTACAGATTTTTAAATATATGTGTAATATGCATATATGTGTGTGTTCACTTTAGAGTTCATTTACAATTTCACAATACTAACTGTTGGATGTGAAGATAAATTTAACAGATTATATGTCTATGACTCTTAATAAATTATAATTCTACAATAACTATTGCATAACACACACAAAGTTAAATAATTTTTGTATCTTAATGTTTTGGAACATATTGGTTTGCATTACAAATGATAACATACCAAATTTCTATAAAGCATTATTGATTTTTTTTTTTTTTTTTTTTTTTTTTTTTTGAAAAAAACAATTATTGCAGATTTTAATTTTCTCTATTTTTCCACATGCAAAATTTCATCATTATTTGCTACTCATTACAATTTTCGAACAAGTTGTTAATCAATTTGGGATATTAAAAGTAATTTTTATGAAAAATGTGCTTTGTATCATTTTAAATTTAAGATTTTTCAACAAATAAAAAAATTCGTTACTTTTGATGCATATGAAGTTTATATGAATTAAATTTCGATAACATTTGGTAATTATTTTTTGGTAATATCTGCTAATTATTTTTTGATATTAGTTAAATCACGATGTAATTATTATTTATTTCTACAAATAGATGAATGTCTACTGATGATTATATATATGACATAAATTTACAATTTTTAAATTTTGCGATTAATCAGATACATTTTGATCTCGTATATCAATATAATGTGTATTGTGTACTTATAATTAGAATTGGAAATTTAATAAAATTAAATAATTTCTTTTTTATATAAATTTTTGCGCTTTAATATAAGTAAAAAAATGTATACATAAGAGAATTTTATAAATTAATCTCAAATTTATGTTCATTTTCGTACACACATGATTATTATTACAGGTTTAATAACACTAATTTTGGTTTTGAATATATTTACTCAAATATGTTAAACATTTCGAATATATTAAATTGACATAGTTTCATATATGTAGTTGTCTTTTTATATTGCACTTAATGAAGATGGACTACTTGTTTTCTTATTTCATTGATACTTTCTTACAATGATTTCCTCTCTAGTCTATTCTTTGATTGAATTAACAAATCGTATACAAAACTATTCTTCAAAATCTATATGCAAAGCTGCAACTTTGTTATAAAAACTTCTAAAAAATGCTGGCTGCCTCTAATAAACTTAAAAATTACAAAATACATAAATGTCTTCAAGATGTATTTTACGCTTTACTTTAATTTTTATCTTTTAAAATTTACTTAGTAAAGTTCTATTTAACATTTAATATCTTTAATTGTTCTAACTTCTTAACATTGTTGCATGATAACATACTTTAATTATTTATATATTATTTATTTTGCAAAAGATTTGTAGAATATCAGCAAATTACTATATAGTCTTGAATTTTTCAACAAATAGGATTGTCGTAAACGATTATATCGTTTCCACTTCAGTATAAGTATGCAAAAAATTAAATTCTGCTCCCAATTGATTCTTGTGTATATACTTAACTAACTCCAGATGATTCATACGCTTGCCAAATACTTACAAAATAAGCTGAATCATATTTAGTGGATACTATAATACATATAAATTGCGAAAATAAGGTCAAGTCGCACTTATCAAATATTTGGCAAGTGAACGGATCCGATAATCGACATTTAAAGTTAGTAAAAAATAAAAAAACAAGATATATATATGTCTAATGTATAACTTCGTTTAGAACGAATATATATATATATATATATAAGTTAATTGTCATGAGTAACTTATTCATATAGTCAATTTCAATATTAAACAACCAGGGCGCTTGTAGCCATCATATTAAGTCCGCAAGTGCCATCTCCGCGATAAACTCTATAGTATCCTTGTTCGCCCCAACGTTTTCCCCAGCTGTTCTTGATGACCCAATATGGTAGCTTTTTGTGGAAGAGTGGATAATCTAAAAGAATATTACATTAAGTAACGTTTGCAAACGAATTTTTGAATATTGGATTAGCAGAAAAGAAATATACAAACAAGTACACCTTGTTCCAACTTCTTAACAGTTTGTTAAAAACCATTGAGAAATAAATACATACTGCTGGTGCCATATCCTACGATGAGCACACCGTGGTCCAAATTCTTGGGATTGCATAGGAATTTAAAGGGATGCGATACACCGCCGACGTAGAACTGCATGGCGTTAGCGTTGATGCCGATAGAGATCGGGCCGTTCTGCACCAGCCACTGCGCAATTTGCGTCTCGTTCGAGGTGATATTGACAGCGGAAGCCAGTTGTACCTTGGCCAAACTTTTCTTAAAGTGACACTTCTCGTTCTCCGCCTCGTACGGATAATCCGACTCCAGCTCGAGACCACCCAGTTTCTCGATGGCTCTATATGCGTTATCCGGTAGACCGCCGCTGCAGCCTTCATCCAGATCGTCGCAGTCGACAAGCTCCTGCTCGGACAGAGACAACAGCTGACCGTGCTTGATCGCGTACTGGCCTTCGACGTTGCCCGTAACTGAGAAGGCCCAGCAGGAGCCGCACATTCCCTGATCCTTCACCGCGGTCACCGCGCCTTTCTGTCGCCAGTCGAAACTGGGTGGCAGCTCGACATCCGGAATCTCGGCTGTACGTAGAGGAATATCGTTCTCCGATCGCAAATCTGGTCGCAAACCAAGATAACGCCACCGGAACTCTTCGCGCGACACATCAGCAAACATGTTGACGCCGTAGCGACCAGTTCCCTGTTCGGTTTTACGCAGTAGCCGTATGATATCGAGATTCTCGCGGAATATTCTGAATCGCAGGTCTCTCTCCTCCGACGTGGGATACGTTCGATTGTAGGTCGCCACGAACTCGTTGAACAGCTGCTCGGTCCTCACGTCCTCGGCGATCTGCAGCATCTTCTGGTTGTAATTAAGACCACGTAGATTCCGCTTCTTTCTGCTTCTTTCTGTCGATGGCGGGGGACATGTGACCGTTATTTCGGGTGAACCTTGATCGAGCCACGGTCGTGACCACACGGATATTAAACAGTCTTTTACTTCACTTCCGGCCTGCAACTGGCAATTGTTTTTAGTGCCCTTCGGGCAATCGCTAGTGCCCAACTTGGCCTTGATCTTGTAAAGTGTACCAGCGACTACTTGAACGCTCGCCTCGCTGATTTCCACTATAAGTGGTTCATTAGGATCGTTCGATTCATCGGAAACTTTGCGCAGTGCTTTGTTGGCATAAAGTTGAATTTCAGGATCATTTATAGACGTCGGCCTGGGTGCACCGGCTATCCCTCTTTTCGTTACCGATCGTTTTCTTCTATTAATGACATCTGTTCTATCATTCTCCTTCTCGAGCATTAAGTTCTCCATGGAAATTTTCTTTCGTTGAAATTTTTCCTCCTTTACAGGTTCGCGCGTATCAGGTGCAGCATCTTTTATATTGACAGGCAGATCAAAATGCTCCAAGAATTCCCCAAATTCCTTTGCTTTGTCCGTAAAACCCACAATTTTCTCGTCTTGCTGACTTCTGTTCAGTATTACTTTTACGATCGCAGGTTCCGTCACTACGGCTTCCTCAGAACGCTTCGAGGGCGTCGAAGATGGCGCGTGGGTGTAATTGTCGAGCATATCTTTCAAGTCTTCATAGGCATCAGCTACATCGGAGTGGGACGACGATTGTCCTTCATTATATTTGACCGTCACCAAAGACTGACTCTCCAGATCCGGCTGCGGAGACTGATTACTAATATTGGCGCGAGAATTTTCCTCATCCGTGCAATTGTTCCTGATGATCTTAAGAGACATCGGTTGCCACGGTTGTTGTTCAAACGTGACTAAACACAGCTTAAGCGAATTGGATGTTCGCAACGGACAATCCTGTTCTTGTTCCAGGGCATTCTTCAGACACTCAGACTCGCCTATCAACAGCAGTAGCTGATACTGTATTATATTGGATGAAACTGGTACCGAGCGAGTAACTTTCACGATGTTTATCAGCTTATGCTTGTAATCGCTCGTCGTTTGCTCGTCTATCGATCTCAATGCTTGCTCGCCAAAGACCAGGAAACTCGGCAGATTCGGATTCAACTCGTACGGACAGCCTGGACAGTAATTGCTACCAGGAGCGCGCACAGCAATGAACGGTCTGATGTTCTCGTCGCCAGTCTCCTGAATTTCGTGATTCAATTCGACGCTTCGATTGTTATTCACCTGTTCGGTCACGCTCTCCTGAGTGGTCTGAGAGTCTTCCTGATCCTGATAGCTCTGTTGCTCCTGCGACGTGTCATTCTGCGCTTCGGCCGTGTAAAAGTACATGCACTGAATAGAATCATTCAGTGCCTCTACATCGTCCTCTACATCGCTATTTTGTTTCAGATCAATTGTACAGGCCTCCCTGGGACAAGACTCCACTCCACATATTGGGTTCAAGTAAAATGTGAACTTGTATAGCTTGTAAGGCGGCTCCTCCTGTAATGATAATAATGGAATTAGCTGTACGTTAAATAAAATACAAACTATCATAATAAATTGATTTTATCCCAGATAGATTATTATGATAGGAATAATAAAACACTATTTATTATTCTAGCTATTATAGTAATTATTATGTCATTATAATATGAAATAGAAATAAATTTTGTAAAATCAGTAATCTGCTACGTAGTAGCACTCTTTCCACATATTTCTTCAACCGAGTAATATAAGTTAGTCTGATAACCCAGAATATTATCTCAGTTTATCGTTGCCTCAAAACGCACAAAAATATATACATTTGCATACATTAATGCACAAATATATATGCATATATCTGTAGGAATACATGTGTGTTGGTCAATCATAAAAAATGTTATCTTATCCAAGTTTATTGGGAGTTTTGGTTTAAAATCACACATATTACTCAAGGATAAGTTTACAAGAACCTATAACAGAGTTACACATTTTAGTTTCAAATAAAACAAAATTCCTTTTTGTTTATTTTGTATGACTTTTATCTTTTCATAATATAGGAAATTTATATATCAACTTATGTATCAATTTTTAATATCATATAGAACGTTATATCTGAATATAACATTCTGTAAATAAATTTCCACTAATAATTCTCTTGAGGATTAATATAAAATTAAAAACAATACTTTTATCTTCTTTTTTTAAATATTAGAAACAATATTATTTTGATTCTTAAGAAAATTATTCATCAATTACGTTTCCAGGAAAGAAAATCTAAATATAATAATTATGCAATCATCTGATGCAACCACTAGTTTCTTATATCCTTTTGCGCTACAAGAAATCTCTCATGAAAGAGACATTATACAAAATATTATTTCAAGATTATTTTCAAGAGAAGAACATATATATATTTATACATTATGTATATATTAATTATATATTTTTATGTAAATATAATAGTATCATCTTTTACATATTATGATTATCACCATAAACTTGAAGTTAAAATATATAAATAATCTTTCATCGCAGATTGATGTTACATACTGCAGTAGCTTTTGTAATGCATTATATTTGAAACAAAGTCTTTTTCCTCACTGACTGTCACCAAACAAAGAAAGATTGAATCATCATCTAATATAAGCTTTATGACAAATCCGATCATCTTGGAAGATGACCAAAAAAAAAAAAAGAACATCGCAAAATATCATACTTGACATCTCCGTACAACATAATATAACATGAATTTTTTTCGCGAAAATCTGCGAATTGCATGGGCGTAACTCACCAATTCCTGTGCATTTATCATATGGCCGCTGCTGTATCTGTGATGCGTCGGTGTATGTTTATTCAGGGCCTTCCACGCCTTCATCCACAACGTTCCTGGCACCGCTTTCACCGGGATATTCACCGGGTTCGTGCGGGCCGTCTGCGCGAGGACGCACACCAGACAGAGGAGCGCAAAGCCCGCATGACTTATTTGTTTGGCCATTTTGCAGGACGCGCCGACTCGCGCGTTCTAGCTCGTTCGATTGCTCGCGATGAACTGAAGAGTGATTGTGTATTACGATCAGCTACAACATACTTGGCTGCACACCGAACCGATTCTCATCCGCGTTCGTTCGTGACTGACTCCAGTCGATTCCAGCAGGGGTCTGTTCCTTTTGGTTGCGCCGCGTTTCGCGAACCAAGATACGACCATATGTAACAATAATAATTCACGCTGAATCACAAATGTTCTCTTGCACGTCACGTTTAAGATGATGAGCAAGAATATGTATTTAGCCAATTCACAACTGGATCTAGTGCAATCAAATAATTTAACAATGCGTTGAATGCGAGGAAAAGTTATAACTGCGCATCATGTGAAATTAGATCTAATTGTCAGATTTAATCTCGCATGCAACTTAGTTTTTTTCGCACGCAATATCACTTAAGAAAACATAGAAGAGATAAATAATCTGAATACAAAATATTTTTTTATATTAAATAAGGAAGAAATATTGTTATTTCTTTAATAGCGTGATAATTGTCACTTGGAATAATTATCTCTATATTGCATGCTAATAATTATATCTATTATTTTTTATTACCTCTACATTATTTTAATTCTAATAAGTATTTTATCAAGAAGTTTTTTGATATATTATAATTTTCTAATTCTGTGTATTTTACTTGATTCTACATTCTAGATATATTAATATGACATTTCATATTTATATTCATATTTTATCGTACTTGGAAAAAAAAGATTTATTAACATACAGAAAATAATGAAAAAAATGTACAATAGTTTAATACCTCTTAATATCTTCAATATTTAATTATATTACGTATCTAAAAATGTTAGTGTCATGTGACTATTTTTTTCACGTAACCTCAACATTTAGCTTATGCACTGACGACCTTGTCAGTGGCTTGTGACACTAGCTTTTAATATTATCAATTTGAAAAGCGCGCGCATTTTCAATATGACATCACTTCCTCTTTGTCACGTGACGATTTTAGTTCGCTCATCTAAAAACAGGTGGCGCTGATTCTCATTCGTTCAGAGAAAATTTGTGTATGCTGTTGAACGATTCTGCCCACGTGTTTTTTCGAGATGGAATTATTGCATTCTGACAAAAATATGTACGAAGAAATAAATGAAGATAGCGATGATTATCAAGAAAATGAATCTGCTGAGTTAGAAATGGAGAACAATACAGATGAGTCATTACCTGATGCTAAATCTACTTCAAACGCAGGATGGGCAGATGCTATGCAGAAGATTTTAAGAACAAATAAGCCAAAGAGAAAAAAGACAATAGTACTTGCAAAAGCAAAGAAATTATGCGATGTAAAAATAAAAGAGAAGACGGAAGATTTCGAAATTGATGGTATTAAAAATGAAACTAAAATAGAAGCTGATGTCGAAACAGGAGAGCCTACTGTACGTACTAAACAAAGAATAAAGGAAAAGAGTCTTGGCATCCGGGTAAAACCATCAATTACAGATCGAGAACGTGAAAGAATGCTGCAAAAAATAGCCACACGGTAATTTATATTACATTTACAATTTTTTTCTCACTCTTCTGGTTGTTAATAAATTTCTTGTGCTATACTTTACAGTGGAGTTGTACAGCTATTTAATGCAGTAAAACAGCAACAAACGGCTATTGACAAAAAATTATCAGAAGCAGGACCATTGGAAAGAAAACGCGAGCAAGTGCTTAAAAGTATTGATAAAAATGCCTTTCTCGACATTCTTATGGGTGGCAGTAAAAGCATACCACTTGATAATACAGTCAAATCTGAAGCACTTGTAAAACAGACAAATAATAAAGATAAGGTAAATAAAGTTATTTTATACACTACTTTATGTAATATAAACAATGTTCAAATACATTTAAAATGTTCTTATAATATTAGTATAATTTTGTGTATAGCAGCATAATATATTATATATTGATTTATCTTTTTCAATATATGCATTAATTCACATACATTTAATTCATAAGTTATTTAATGCCATATGTATCAAGGTCACATAATATATAATTATGTTTATTGATATTTGATACACATTTTTACATATAATATACAATTGTGCATAACAATGAAAATGGTTGTTTTTTAAAGGATGACAAGATGTGGGATGTTCTTCGAGATGATTTTGTTATGGGAGCCAAGTTAAAAGACTGGGACAAGAAAGATGCTGAAGAAGAGGATTCATCATCTTTCGAGGACATGGACAGCGATGTGGATTAAAAATAAAAAAAACTTGTCATATGACTTTCTTTTCAGATAATTAAATAGTCATAAAAATCTCAACATTGAATGTGTATATAATTAACTCATCTGGAAACATTTTTTGTAAATATGTAAATATATATTGTGAATTTTTTCAAATTACACTTTATATCAATTTATTATTTTGTGCATTCATATGCTATAACTGACCTTCCTTCCTTTTTGTTATCCTTTTTATAATTCATTAAATGTTTATTTGAGTATAATATTTTATGTACAATGTAAATTCTAAATATTTCGTAAAAGAAACAATTTATTGATATCGTTTATTAATTAATTGATATTTGGAATTGAGGATATTTTTTCTCATAGATTAAGGTTATCTTATAAAGCAATATTTTTTCATTATTTTATAATTGTGAAGATTTAAAAGAAACGAAAAAAGCTTGGTCGAAATAATTAGCCATAGAGGAACAAAAATCCCATTATCTACATATATTCTCCATTTAGCATTCTAAAAACTAGGAAGGCACATAGTATTATGCTTCGCACAGGATTTTATTCTTTTAATATTCCTCGGTCAGTGATTTTTATCATTATGAGACAGGAAAACAAAGTGTACAACTTATATAGTTATCTATAATTATTTTACATATGTAATGTGTATATTAAGAAATGTATCTAAAATCAACTGTTATTATCGTTCACTTGCTGCATGCATAATTCGATTTAACATATTTTGATATTTTGTTATATCTGATTATATATTCAGTTCCTTCTTTACTTTCTCTGAAATCTCTATTAATGCATGATACATTCCCTTTATTCTTAATGCAAATTTTGTTGCTTTTTTTCTTTTGCCACAGTTTTTTTATTTTTTCAAAAATATTAAACTTGTTTTATGTAAATATTAGAAGAATGTGTTATTCTTCAAACAATACAAAAAGCACAAACATAATAATTATTTAATAATTATAGAAGCTATTTCTCACTTAAAAAATATTGAAAGAAAATATTCAAATTGTTGTCAATAATCTTTGTAAAACTTAGAAATTTGTTGAAGTCTGGACGGATTAAGCTAATTTTATTGTAATTTTCTTGCTTAAACTTAAATAATTTTTGATATATAAAAGTATTTTTATATTGTGAATTGCCCAATGTTAATTTCTTTGCAATCGTACTTTCTTTTTATTAAGAAGGACTTTAAGTATTGTAATATAATTTATCGCATGATATTCATTTAAATCTTTCTATCTACATTATTTGGTAAGAGAATATTAACTATCATTCTTGATATTTGTCGTCGTCTGGGATATTTTAATAGTATTAAAGATTATCTTCACATTCTTGCCGATTCTCTCTCATCGCGCAAAAACTTTCTTTTCACTATTCAAAAAAAGTCGTTGTTCAGTTTCATACGGTATGATCATTTGCCAGAAATATGCTGCATGTGTATATATGTATATATGCATGTGTATGTGTGTGACAGATTTTACTAGTGTGTCACATACAATTATTATATATTGTCTCACACACACACACACACACACACACGCACATATATATATATATATATATATGTGTGTGTGTATGTATGTATATATATGTATATATAATTTATATTAACATCATGGTATAATATTTTCCGCACAATGTGATACTTATAACTACAACTTCTTGACTCCATTTCCAATTTTTCTGGATTTCAATTTGTTTATATAAATAAAAATAAAATAATATGCTAATAACTTCTATCTTCACAGTTTATCGCAACAACTTTTTGTCACCTGACTCTCGTACACCCTACCTGTTATGTGAAACACTGTATAACATTTATCAAATTTAAAATTGGTATAAAGGACATGAGTTAAGTGACATTCTTTGGGCGAAAAATTAAAGAGTTTTAAAAAGAGACTAAAATCATATTAGCGCTGATATTTAATTAGAGATTTAAGTTTTAAAAAGAATTAGAAATCTTCTATGTATGTACGTTTGAAAATCTCATCTCAAAGTTGAAGAAATCCGAACTTTAAACTCTTCTTATCAATCTGAGAGAGAATTACGTACAATTATAAAGTTAAGTTACACTCTGCTCTCGCGAATATCGGCGAGTGCGCCAAAATTACCAGCTTCTTCGTCGGGAAATTGAACTCCTTCGGCTTCGTCTCGACTTCTGTCTTCATCTTCTAATCGTCTTCTCGCAAAATACCTAGGATCGTCATCAACGACATTGCGGTTGACTTCATCCTGCAGTTGTGAATGATCCAGGCGCGGATTCCTCGTGCTTTGATCTTCGCGATATCCTCGAGGGCGCTGATCTTCGTCGACACATCTATCTCGCATAGCAGTGTCGACCTCCTCGGAGTCGGGCAATCTGACGAAGACCTGATGTTGATCTCCGTCTCGGTTTAACGAACTCCTGCGGCTATCTTGGCTCAGTCTGGATGCGCTGCGAGCGCGGTTTCTCGTGTTCATCAACTCGTTGCCGGCGATCTGGTGATTATTGCGACCGGCCTGTCGATAGTTTTCGTTCTCGTCGAACGGAATACGGAACGACACCTCGTCGTGGGATGCGCGAAAAGTCTCGAGATTCGCATCGTTACTAGAAACTCGTGGCATCGTTTCCCGACTGAGCCGATAAAGACCCAGCTCATTGTCCACGTAAAAATTGTCCAGCGGATTGCTGATAATGGACGGATTGCGTGAGACATTCCGTCGTGGGTAGCTCTGCAAGCTGGACAGACTCGTCACCGTGGCGTAAGGGTGATACCCGGGTACCGAGTTCAGCGGGTTACCGATGATATGTGGGCAACTATCTAAACTTTGCATCTCGATCTCCTCTTTGCTGTCTCGACAGTAACTGCGCATGTCGATCTCGTGCGGCAGATTAACAAATCTGAAAGAATTGAGTTAAACTTGGTATAATAAATATGTAGGAATAATTAATGGTTCTCTAATTCATACATATATTACTATCAGCAATGATGTACCTGTGCAGGAGAATGTCAGAGTAAGAAGGAGGCATATCAGTCTCCTCTTTACCGTAAATACTCTCGTAGGTAGGTGGCGGAAAGCATCCTACAGAACCTAAACTGTCCTTACTGGGTGTCTCAGCGTCCATTTCGAGAATGCTACCCTGACTACTTTGTAACTGGTGGCGATTTACGCTTCGTGGGTTTCTCTGAGCACGTAACACACTGTCGCCCAGTTCCACTAAATCCAAACCTGCCACAAAAATATTAAATGTACATTTCCTATACATTCTAAAAGATTTAGCGAAATTTTTACAAGAATAACATAATTCTATCTATTATAAGTCTTTCCATAATGTTTGAGATCAGGACAGTTAAAACAAATTGTTCCCTGCATATGCTTCCTTCATAATAAAATAATACATTAGAATTTAATCTTTTTTCAACATATTTGTTAAATTTTTTCAAGAGAAAGAGGGGAAAATATTTCAAATCTCTAGAAAAATTTGTTTCTTACGTTTTATTCTATTTTATTGTTTTCCAAATGATTAATTACTTTAGTTCATTTTATTTATATATCTGGAAATGTAAAATTTTAAATTTTACCCGTGGGATCCGCCTGGAACTGTGTGAAGATCGTACCATCGACGACGAGCATTCTGCCATGCGGCAGGAGAATAATCGTCGGGGTTGCAACCATCGCCTGATCGCTGCCACCGAACCGCGGATCCGGTTCGGGATCCTCTAGACGACAGCAGCAATGTCGTCTGCACAGGGACCGGCAGAAAGGCGCACCCCAGCAGCAATAAGCGAAGATGAAGCAGAGAACGGCAAGCATCACCAAGAGGGCAGCCACCCCTTGACCCTGCTGAGCGGCTGCGAGGGTCGGCCCGCCGGCAACGCCTACGCCGACGCCGAATCCACCGCTGTTGCTCATTTCGCCTAATAAATTAATATAATTAGTTGCCTTTTTCATATTATGCATATTATGTTGAACTGATACGTACAAGGCTATATATTATACATATGCATACAAGATACATATTCTTACAGATCTAAAAATTTTCATAAACTGTTTAAGTAATTTAAAATTTTTACAAGACTTTATTTGTCTTATAATTTCTTAATTTTTAATATATAAAATAATATATAAAATAGTTATTGATAATATAAATTTAAAATAACATAAAAACTGGAGATTTTTAATCCATTTTTTTAAAATAATATAGGGGTATATGTATATGCCTATGAATTAATAATAAATTATATTATATATAAATTTAATATATTAAAATGACAAAAATTTTAAAGTCAAATTAATCGACTTCTTACATATCGTACATCTTCTGAATAACGATGAATATGTTATGTAAACGTCAATGAAACTGTTACCTATATGGGCTCTCTCTTATGCTAATAGGCCAAATTTCATAGTTTTCACCCTGGACACGAGGTGAAAGTGAAGCTCTATGCGGTGATCGTAATATGTTACATAGTCAACGAGAGAGTAGGGCAAGCATTGAATACAGTCGATCAATCGCGCGCGTTCGCGTGTAAAGAAGTTTTATAACAATCGCCTAATCTACATGACCAGCATGCGGCGTTCCGAGATTAAAGATATCGTTAAAAAAATAAATACAACCTCCCTGATGAGAAATTGACCAGTCTTGTAGCTCAAGAAAATGATAATGCAAGTAACTTGTTGTATCATTGCCAAATTATTTATATAGTAATTATATATTATGAGAAATTAAAATTCACTCTCTTTGATTAATTATTACGTATTATTTTGAATATTGTATGTTTTGTTATTGAAATATATTACATTTTGTGTGATAAAAATAGTTTAATATAGTTATTATTATTAATTTCTTATAAGTTTTTACTTTATATAATTTATCAAATTATGTAAACAATTATTTATATGTTGTATAATTTATTATTAATGAAAACAATGCAAGTCTTGTGAATAATTTATCAGGTGTATTGATTAGTATGATTAATTCAGCAGAGAAATACAAATCGCAGTCTAATTAATCTATAGTCTCTTCGTTAGTATTCTTTTCCTATACCGTTGCTAAAGATAGCATGAAATAATAATAACTGCATAAGCAATATCTAAAAGGAGCATGCAAATTAAGAAAATAATTTTTTTATCAGCATTTTATCTAAAAATATTATAATTCGCTCGTTTCTCTCATGTCTATAAATTTCTGTTATATTATTAATATCTTTATATATATTTTGCAATGTGCTTTATATATTCTAATCGAATTTCATTGTAAATACGAGATTATAAAAGAAATTATGATATGCAAAATGTAAATCATCAGGTCAACAAGTTTGCTATACAAGACTTATTTGTACCACACACACGTAAGTGATATTTATTATATAATTTAAATAAAATCAAACAAGAATGATCACCTTGGGCGGTAATATTGTGAAGCCAAGCGATTCCCGTGGTGGTTGCTGACTCCGTAACTCTGCGCGATCCGTAAACCATGAAAATGATTGAGAATTTGATGGATCTTTCTGCGTGAGAGAAGAGGATTATGTCCTCCCAAGACAAACGGCGAGGATGGAGGCGACGATGCGATCACATTGACAATCCGCTGTCTTCAACATGTGGATCGACTTCGACTGGATGCATTCCCGCTGCGATAAACGCATTTCTTGCGCGTCATTAAACTTGAGCATCCGCGTTGTGATTTTCGTTGTATTTCCAAGTTCGCCTTTCGTTAAATCGTGAAGATCAGCTAGCTTTTTGGTATTAACATCGTTGCACTTTTTTCGAATTTGTTAATCTGGAAATTAACACACAGGAATAACATATTTTTGAAAGGATCGTAAAATCACGAGAAAGTGAGCACGATTTGATTTATAGCACTCCGAGTTAAAAATCTAATCACCTCACATTAGTTTTTAATTTACTTGAAAATCGATTTTTATTATTAATAATTGAAAAATAGTCGACTATCATGAAATCGCGAATTTAATTTATAATAATTAAACAAGTTATAGTTTTACCAAAACAGTCCGCACATTTACCTCGCTCACACTTATTACATTAACGGCACAATTTGGATTCGCAGTGTTTCGGTAAGAGAACTGTCTCTTTTTTTAGCATGACTAATAATATATTTGCGATAACTCGGCATAATATACTCCGTTGATTTCTCGCGCGGTTTATTCAACACATTAAGTGGAGACAGAGAACTGCCATCGTCATTCTTCAGAAACACTCTTGACCCATTTCCAGAACGTCCCCACTTTGTGTGTATCAACCTTCTGCGCTGCTTCTACGACGATATCTCTATTTCTCAATCGGGAGAAAAGCCACTCGTCGCGACCCCGCTCTTGGCTTTCTTGTCCCTCTTGCAACCCTTGTATATCACAGCACCCACCACTTTGAGATTTATCTTGATTTACCCCTTCAAAACGCTTCTTAGATGTCCGCCCTATTTGTAGAGATAGTTAAAAGTTTCTCAAGTGAAAAATCGATACAATCAACTCGATCTTCTCTTCTCTCTTAAGAAAAATGCTTTACATCCATATTTACGAAAGAAATTTTGAGAATTTGTCTGAAAATTGAGAATAAAAGATAAATATTAATAAGATTTTCTCAAGAAAAATACATAATCAATTACGTTTTTTTTCTATTTTTAAAAATTGGTTTGTTAATAGTATTTTTTAAATATTACAATATTTAAGTCTGTAGAAAATGTTTATAAAATATATATTATATAGAGAGAAGAAATCTTGAAAAATGTAAAAAGATAGAAGAAAAGACTTACTTCAATCTTGTGAAACGAATGCTGAATCACGTCACATTCCTTTTGCTTCGAAAAAGATTTCTTCAAAAATAGAATCATTCAAAATGATTTAAAAAGCTTTATTATAAATACTGCTTCGGGGTAACATGGAGACTCCATTGTCTTTATTTCTATAGCACGAATATCTTGTTTCTTTTCGTTTCTATTATTTCTGTAACATCGATTTGGTTTCTCTTTTTCGTTCCTTCGGGAAATTTATTCTACGTCCTTTGGGAAATTTCGTTGTATCCACTTTCGTTGCCCTCTTTACATCGAACCATCGACATATCTCTCAGTCCTTGACGTCACCGACTGCGGACCAACACACGCCATATTATTTACCGTCGAGCGTTCACCGGGCGCGTTCTTCGGACGCACTTGTCAGAAGCTAATAAGAAAGATGTTGTTTCCTCGACGAACCATGAAATATTCGTCTTTTATTATATTAATATCACCAGCGATTATCTCATTTACACAATATATTCTAATTAAGTCGTACGATAAAGTAATTAATATTATGTAAATATAATTACTGTTATTAAATTATTAATTAACGTGTATCTCACATTACCTTGTCTGAGTTTATATTACTCTCTGGATATGCATTTCTTTAATGTGTAATTAAGTTTTTTATATCGTCCAAGATGTTTTTTTATATTGTTTATAAATTAAAAGCACATTTTTAATAACGTAAATTCATCTTCAGCATTTAGCACTCAACTGCATCCATCCTAAAGATTCAACTTCCAATCTTGTTTTAATAGAGAAAGTGATAAAATCTTATTTCGGTCTATCTATCGAGAGATCCATTCGTGATGACCCAGATTTATTCTCGACACGTCCAGGCTACATCTACATTAATCACTTTATTTGCGCGTCGATGAGCGTTCATCCTTTTTTTTTACAATTTTATTACGTTCACTCCGCGGAAACTGCTGACCGCAAAAGTCACCATCATTATGTATATCGTTTCGTTTTATAATACAAGTTTTCCACCCCGTATATAAATTAATGTGTATACGTATTTTATACGCGCGCGTATGTGTATGTATTTTCTCTCCTTCCTTTTTAAAGATTTTCCCCTATAGGAATATTCTTAGCTCAATACGCACTTTAATCCGCTACCTTTTATGTTCACCCTCTTCGCAAGTTCCTCGTGATTAAACATCGATCTCACATCGGGGTGTTTTGTATCGTAATTAATAACTGATAACGTGTGTGCTTTATATCTTTCTCATAAAAGTCGATACTGCGACGAAAAATAAACGTCCGTGTCATGACGCGACGTCGGTGGTGAGAACGAGAACGCCAGGCCAGTGGGGCTATCCACCACCCACCCCATCCGGAGTCAGCCGAAGGGCGCAGCAATTCCGTCGCAGTTCACTCTCTTCGTTTCACTGCGCACTCGTTGCCGATGGACTCGTCGGCCGTTTCTCCCCTTCCTTATTCTCGTCGCATGCGTGTATATCCACGCTCAAGGGGATGGTAGGAAAAACTGGAGAAGGGAGGATTCTGTGATCCTAATCTCCGGTGCAGGGAAATACTGTAATTTAAAAAATTTTGACTCCAGTAATTGCATCATTTACAACATTGAAGAGTAGTAATTAATCAATTTTCCAAAGTAAAAAAAAAATTCATATATATTGCAAAAGTAAATATGTATGCGACAATCGATTGAATTCAGTATATATTCTTAATATAATTTTATTAAACGCGATTGAAAATATATTTTATTTCATCTAAAATAATTTTTGTTAACAGTTATAATCTATATATTCCAAAAATTGATTTGTATTTTTTCCTCTTTATCCTTATAGAAAATTAAATTTTATTAGCATTAACATTTAAATAAAAATAATTTCTTATATATATATATATATATGTATATATATGTATATGTATATCAAAATTTAAACATTTGAATTTAAATTTGATTTCATATGTTTTACAAGAACTGTGTAACTCGTAATAAAAACTATGTGTGATTTTTAATTCAAAAACCAAGTAGTATTATGAGTGCCAAACTTTAGCTATATAGGAATAGCAGAGGAATAGAAAAGAGGAAGTGAAAAGGTCAGGGTGACTGCAACCACCCTGCATCGTTATTGCAGACCTACTTTTTTCTACGATGTCGAGGGCCAAACGGCCCAAGGACCAAGATTTAGGATCTCTAAACGCTTAATCTATATCACAACATACTCAGCATATTTGCTTGACTTCTGCTAGTCTACTATAATATTATATTTAATATAAGCGTTATGTCTAACAAAACGCGACTAATGCTAATCTACTGCAACATACTGATAAAATCTATCACTAAATTGCTCGTAATGTCGCTTACATGTTATTTGCTGAGTAATGATACATATATTCCGAATCTCAACGATTAATGTTTAAACGCATCTCGAGCATTTAGAATTAAAGGAAAAGAATTTATCCGAGTAATATTCACATAAAATAAATTATAAGCATATTCCATAAAAATTTGACAATCGTATCAATTAATATTCTAAAAAATAATAATGCAAAGGTAGATTAATTTAGTGACAAAAAATTTTCATAGAGAAAAATATTATAATTACGAGTAACAATACGAGCACGCTTGTTCGTTTCATATAAAAAGCAGGTCAAGCGGATAGCATCGATTTTATTCAAATTCTCAGTTTTATTAAATAACGGAAATATTTATAGAATCAATGAAAAGCTTTTAAATAGTTTTATGCGATTACGCACAATTACTTAAATGACAAATTATTATTTTCCTTGTCAAATAATTTTTCAAATCTATCAAATCAATCAAGCTGGTGCAATATGCCAGTTTTAATTCATTAGAGTATTTTTTATATTTGTAAATTTTAAACTCTTTTTGTAATATGATGTATTATGTTTAAACAAAAGAAAGAAAATTCTCACTTAAAAACAGTAAAATAATAAGATATGTAATGATTTTATTATTTTGAAGATTGGGGTCAATTATCAGTCTTATAACTTGACATTATTCGTGCATGTACTATAATTTAATGATAACATAATGGCATATTTTATCATAAATATATACAATATATATATATATATATATATATATATATATAACATTATACATTATATACATATATTTATATATTAAAATTAGATTTTATATGTTAATTCATATTGTTACTAAAATGATCAATTTTTTGAGCCTCCACGATGGAACATGCTATTATATCATTAAATGATTATAGTACATGCATATCCTGAATAATGTCAAGTTATGAAATTAATTAACCCCAATTTTCAAAATATTAAAATCGTTAAATCGTTATGTAATGTAATATCTTATTATTAAGAGTAATATATTGATAGTTCTAGATTTTTAAATATAGCAATATTAGTAATAAAATTGTATCAATTTCGTTATATTTTAAATTAAAAAAAAACCGCTTAAAAGTGTAATAAATTTTATGTATGTGTATATGTATAATTTACTATTAAAAAGAAACAAAAATAACTTATAATTTTTGAAATTAATAATAAATAATAATAAATTAATTTTTAAAAAAGAACATAGTTACAAATTACTTTTATAAAGTTACTCTAATCTTATCCAACTCTGCCCTAATAATTGATAAATTTATAGATATACACATTTTTAACCAACATAATTATATTATATATATTATATACTTAAACATGTTTTACATTTTTGATAAAAATAATATATTAGTACCTTTAAAATTAACATACATTATTTATCTGGTAAGATATTGAGGAGCCAATCTTTCCAACTTTGTATCTCTGCTCTACTCAATTCATGGTCAATATTTTGCAGCGGTATAAATTTCACATTCACGCCAAGCTCCTTCAGATTTTTAGCAGTCTCTTCACCCCATTCAATAGGAACTAAAGTATCTGTTGTACCATGATATTGAACAAGTGGTATTTTATTATGTTCTGGCTTTGCTTTTAGATGCTAAAAATGTATTAATAAATAAATAAAATAATACTAATTTCTAGTTTTATAGTTAACAAAATAAAGATTTACTTGCAGTACACAAAATATATTATAAAATTTTAGTTTCACGAAATCTCTTTATAATTATTTGTTGATACACAAGTATTATGTATCATATTGACTTTATTTTACAAGTTATTTTAGTTTATGTAAAATATTTTCAAGTTTATTGTATAAATATACCTCATAAATTATAGATTCTTTGTTTAGGAAGGAAGACATAACAAAGCAGCCAGCTATAGATGTTTTGTATCTATATGCTAAGTGCAATGCAAGACAACCACCCATCGAAAAGCCACCCAAAATTATTCTGTTAAATGGAATTCCATTGGCTACTTCTTTATCAATCAATTCTGATACATTTTGGCACATAGAATTAATTGACTCTATATGTTCTGGCACTTGATTAGATATTGCCATGCGATCAAACCACACATTTTGCATCTAAAATAGAATTTTAGTAAGATTTTATGAAAAACACTTGCTATAAAATCAATAAGTTTAATCCTGGAACTTTAACTAGAAAATTGCTAGTCTTGATTTGCTTTTAAAAAGCTTTTTATATAAACACATATTTTGTATATATTAATATTAATAAAAAATTGTCTATTACAAATGTTCTAGGGTTAATCATAAGTATACCATTCCGCCATTTGGTGTGTAAGGTTGACTAGGCGCACTAGGATAAATTAATTTTATATGAGGAAATTGCAGTTTCTCTCTGTTAACAATATCAACCCATTCTTTGATATTTGCTGCTGTGTCACCTGCCAATAATAAAACATAATTAACAATCAAAGCAATATTATATAAAATTTTTCATTTTTATTTAAAGTGGAATTTTACTTTAAAAGCTTCATTGCATTTTTTTTTGTTTATTTTGCATTATGATCAGACAGATTGCTATGTTATTTTACCGGAACCGTGGAAGAAAAATACGGTAGCTGTATGTTTTTTCGTAGCTTGCACAATATTTGCTTGTGAGATTCTCGCGAGTGCCGTCATTTTCTTGAAACAACTGACTTATTGTCCGCCTCGATTTTCTAAAATTATTATCAACGCATAAAAATAAAAGCAACAATATATATTTCTGCTGATATATCGTGATATGCAAAATAGAACAGTCATTGACAAAAATGTAATAGAGGCGTCATCGAATTGAATAATACATGAGAAATGGCGCTCGATGGCGAGTCTATTCCTGCGCTGTGATTGGCTCGCCGCCGATATATCGATATATCGAACGAGGCCAAATTGCGATTCTCGAAGTGTGTCTTCAGTATATAGCATCTCATTAGTCGTCTTCGCGCCAAAACCTCAGAGTCGAGGTCGAGTCACTTCGTGTTTTACGCCGTTTTTACTGTCTAAAAGTGAGTAACGCGAATAAACGGGACTGCAAGTTCGGGAGTGCCGTGTTTCGACGCGATAGACTGAACAATTTTCTCAAAGAGCGTCGACAAGGAGTTCCGCGAGTGCCTGAGTATCGAAGAAAGTGTCCTACCCAGGTAGCAAGCTAACGCCATTCGACGTCGAAATGACGTTATTTTGACGTTTAATATGACCGTATTACTGTTAAAAGTGAGTCTCTCGGTGCCGAATTATCGCGAATGTGACGTAAAGCAAAGTGCCAAACGTTCGTGACGACGTCGGAGCTCATAAACAGACTATATTATGGTCGCGAATATCCGAACCGGCGATTCGTGTCGGGAAGCCGGTCGACATCTTCGACGTCGTCTTCGTGTCTTTTCGTGTGATTTTTTCGTTGACAAGTGCAAATTCATCGAAATTGATAAAAATTAAATTATGGGAGATTGAAGGCCTGAGATATTGTGGTACCGAGACTTTCCGCGTGAGTCAGTGGCGCGCAAGTCATCCGCCATGACACTTCGCGATGTCACCCCGTGGCTCAGTTCCGATATATCGATAAATCGATCGAGGCCAAATTGCGATTCTCGAAGTACATACCTTCAATAATCTTCAGTAACAGTCTTCGCGCCGAAACCTCACAGTCGTGGTCCAGACACTCCGTGTTTCTCGCCGTATTACTGTTAAAAGTGAGTCTCTCGGTGCCGAATTATCGCGAATGTGACGTAAAGCAAAGTGCCAAACGTTCGTGACGACGTCGGAGCTCATAAACAGACTATATTATGGTCGCGAATATCCGAACCGGCGATTCGTATCGGGAAGCCGGTCGACATCTTCGACGTCGTCTTCGTGTCTTTTCGTGTGATTTTTTCGTTGAGTGTGCAGTAAAAGTACGCCATTATTGTGAATTTAAATTATCATTTTTCAATTAATCGGCTCTTAATTGTATTTTTTCCTAATATTTGATCTAATCTAGTGCCATTGCGGTTATGATTATTTTGACTGACCGATCAGCTAATCAGGTAATCAGCATAAAACGATGAACATAGATTTCTTAATTGTTCAATCAAACGAAGCATCTGTAATTGCAAATGGCATCCTTTGTTAGCAAAAAAATGTTTGAAAAAGTTTATCGTACTGCTATCGTCATCTTATCGGACGAAATGAGAAGTACTGAATTTATACAAACAAGATGGAAGGTAACATTGGAGTTACTTAACGAGTATCGGTATTACAGTAACCTGTCAAAACTAGTGATCGGGAAGTGAAACAAGTACAGTGTTGGAAAGTCCGTTCGCGATCGCGAGGTGGCAGCTCGATGCCCGATTACGTCGCGACACTCGGTTATTGCATATAGCATTGCCATAGTGTTAAAATGGCCGCGACGGTTTCCAAGAATTCGAGTGCAGTGTTGTGAGTGCGCGTGCATTTCGACAAGAGGACCATCGCTTGAGAAGGACGCCGCCGCCGCGGAAGGCTACCTCGAAGCATGACCGACAATCCTGCGCCACTAGTGAGTCATGACACTTTCCATAAAATGAGATCGGACGATGCGAGTGATTGCGGACCGCGGCGAGGTTACTTGGCTGTCATCGGCTCTTTTGCGATTCGCCGCTGTCACGCGACACGTGATTATTTTTATTATTTCGTCCTGTCAAGAATCGTTTGTCCTCGTAATCATTTTATGCATATAAATTTTGCTTCGGCTTTTGTACAAATGTCACGTACGTGCATCTCGCATCCGACAAATGTGCAGCCTGCGCAAACGCGCCGGTCGAGGTTCGATGTCCGCTCTGCTTTTGACGTCACTCGGCTGACAGCGACTATCACCTGTTCTCGATGACGTCACGAATAACGATGACGCCAACGGTCCCCAATCTCTCGTAGAATCGTGCTCCTTGCTCTGATCTCATTCCTTTTAACACCTGTATAGTGAGGGTGTTATTGTATTTTTATTGGTATTGTCGATGCGCTATATTTGCCAAATTTGCGACATTAATTTAGGGTATAAAAAGATGAAATTATAAGGATACTTTTAGCATGCAATAAATAAATATAATATTGGTTTTAAGATAACATAGAATTTTGTATGTCGAAAATTGATCAAGTATGAACACTTTGAACAGCTGATCTTTATCGGAATATAATTTATTTCAAAACGCGCGAAATTTATTCCCATTTTTCAATCGGTGAATGCACATTGTTAAGATGTGTGCAAGCAATCGAGGAAAAAAGAATAATAAAATTTAGGTAAAGGTCGGAGAAAATTGTCGGTCGCGTCCAGGTCGCGTTAGAATTGCGTAAGATTAGTAATCGTCGTCAGCGTATTCCAGCGAGATATAAGCGCACATTATTATATCCCCAAGCATTACGAGCGTCATTCCACTCCCAAGGAAAAAATATTTTTCTTGAGAGAAAAATAATCTCTTCTCTGATTATATAACATTATTTCAATGAATTTTATATTTGACCATATGCCACTGCAAATCGCACCATAATTTCGATTTGTGTATACAGTATATATTATTTAGGAAAACATCTCGATTTCGAATCGTGTACAATTGTCGATGTCGGATTCATTTTATGATTCGTGCGGATAAATAATGATCTTTTAATCGTATCTATATTTTGTTCCAATTTTTACACTCTTCTGCTGATCTTATCCTCGCGATTTTTACTCAGACTGTTATATGAGAAGAAATTACGTTTAAAAGCAGTAGATACACATTTTGTGGTGCTAAAAGATTGAGATAAAAATGCAGCGGAAGCGGTACGTTATTTCAGACAATCACGCTAAGTTATGAGAGATTATATCGCGATTATGTGATTATAGATCACAGAATATAGATCGCAGAAGATTGTATTCTTGGAACTTGTCCAATTTCATACGAGTTGAGAAGCTTCTCGATTAACAAGCCAACAATCTTTTATTTTATTGTTGCATCAGAATTTTAGTTCCGCGATAAAATACTAAATTATATTTTAATGTGTGATATGTGCAACTATAAATTTTTTTTCTACGAAATTATTGTTTTGAATTATATTCCATTTATATAAAAATAATTTAGATTCGATATTATATTTTATATAAATAGAATAATATAATTTAATATTTGCTTAGAAGAAAATTTGCAGTGCACACATTAAAATATGATGTAGTATTCAAATTTATCGAATAATTAACATTATTTTTATATATATAATTTAGAGTCGACATTATGGAATTATTTTTAGTATATATATATGTATGTTTACATATATGTACTAAAAATAATTTGATAATGTCGAATCTAAATTATTTTCTGAAAATTATCTAAAATAAATCACTCATTAATACACAAAATAAATATTACGTACGCAATGATCTAATTCGCGCCTTTCTTAATCTTCTTTAACATCTGAATCGTAGAAACTCGAAATTCTCGAATTCCTCGCGGTAACGTGTTTGCATCTTCGGGTGCATCCAAAGAGGATGAAACTTGGAGATTTTCGCCCGATATCCTTTCTCGTTAGCGTATTAGGAAGGACGTGCACGAATTGGAGCAGATGGAAATGCAATGAGCCGTCCTGGTTTCACATACTAGGCTCTCGATGACGCGGTTCGTGCTCTTCTCTCGGTTCATTTCTCTCTCTTTCTCTCTCTCCATCTGTCCATCTATCTATCTTTCTCTCTGTCGATTTATCTACTGTTTATGCTCGTATATACACCGACGCCTTCGCGTCGGTTGATGATGCCGCCGCTTGCGCAATCGTCGTTTACGTTTCACATGATTCACCGGCGTGAAACGTCGGCGTCATCGATGTTGATTTCTCGAAAACGAGGTCGTACGGTGATTGTCACTGGACGGATCTGTCGATGATTCCCCGCGGCTGATGCATTCCTAGCGATGATCGGCTGGAAATAGTAATGGTACACACAGGGTGTTCATAATCGATCTGACCTACTTGAAATTCGAAAGTAGATACTACTTCGAGAGCTAGCTCTGTCTGAAAGAAAATTCTGTTGGGGTTTCTCGAAATATGTATATAGCTTAGTATCGTCATTTATTAAAGTGATTAGTGTATTGTATCGTAAGCGCGCACTTGCGAGAGATTTTCGCAAAATTTCAGAAGAGATTATATAAATTGTGGATTGAATATACGCCTTGATGTTCTTCCGCTTAATTCTCAATTGTATTTGCGTCTGAAAGCGAAATTCGCTAAGCTCACGAGTGCTATTGAATTAATCTCGCGATGAATATTCCTCGATATTTCTCTTGTATTCTTAATTGATATACGAGTGTCATTTGTATGCATTGAGCTTTCAAGAGAAAGAGCTTGGAACTCTTCGGAATTAATATATTTGACCGTATTCCTTGTAAAAAGTACTAATTGTATTTAATATTTCAAAGAAAGACATAAAATTCTAACAACGTGCATATCAGTCTCCTCAGATCAACATTATTTACTTCAAAATTGAAATATATAAACTGAAATATTATAATGTATAAAATATTATATTATATAAATTGAAATATTAAATAAAATCGAAATATATGTTGAATGAAATTAAATTTTGTTATCGAATTTGAGACTCAGACTCTTCGAAATAAATGTTCGGTTTCGGTCTTTATTAGCTATTAGTAATCGACTTGATAACTGCATGTTATCGATCAGAAAAGTACAACATTACGGTAAAGACGGGTGTATGGAAAGGACAGCGACGTCAAGAGTGACTCCCCTCGCTTCGTCCGTGCCGTATCATCTCGATTCCACGTATTGCATCTGCATGTTAAGTTAGATTGACTCCGAGAGAACTGAACCGTGAGCCACTCGAATATATATGCGCGCAGTCTTCACCCTGTTTCTCTCTCTCTCTCTTTCTCTCTCTGTCTCTTTCTCTCTTGGCTTTTCTCTCTTCTTTTCTCTTCGCTCTTTCTTCGCGATATACACTCGTCCGAGCGTACACACTCTCCCTCGCGTCGCACGCAAATGCGTGCGCCAATTGTATTTGCATATTTCAAATTATTTCGAGGAAGATGTTAAGTGGAGCGTCGCGCAATGGAGCCATTCCACCTCTCGCAGTTTATCTACGTGATGTCGTTTCTTTTTTTTCCTTCCCTTGTTTTTTAATCTCTCTCTTGTAGTACACAGATGCGCGGGACGATCTATCGCGTAATCGATAAATAGAGTTCTCCGGATTTCTCCGAAATTGATCGCATCGCTCGCGCCCACATGTGTATACACTTTTCGTATACGAAGGAACATTCTCACACGCCTACGTAATGGACGACTTGCGAAATCATACTAGCATGTCATTTAAATATTTGCTTGCCACGGCTTTGCGCTGCGAATTTTATTTATCGCGAAATCTTAAAGCTCGCCCGAGAAGTTTTTACGGGCGAGCTCTCACACGTCTAAATGTCGAGAAAATTTTGCTCGACTAGCGAGCTTTCCGTGTTTATTTGCGTTTTTCGCATCCGCCGCGCGTTCTGACGAAAATAAATAAAAATTACGTGACGGTGCCCTCTTTCTCCTCCACCGATAGTACATTCGGTTGAGTTTATATTTGCGAATTTTCACGCTCGACGGCCAATTTCGTTATGAGGTTGTTTGCACGTCGAATTCTCGTCAAGCAGCCCCGGCATCGACACAGTTTCGAGAATACGATGAAGCGCTTCTCGAGACGACGATAAAGAAGCGACAAGATGAGAGAGAGAGAGAAAGAGACAGGTGGATTACGCAGCTATATGAACCTGACACCCGGTTTTTAAAATAATGAATTTTTAATACGGCAAATGATAGCATTTTGTTTGTAGTGTCAAATATTTAGTTTGCATTTTATTAAAGAAATTTTAAAAAATAAAAAAATGACTTGCACCCGACATTGAGATATTTCATATCCGCTTTCGCAGTTTCTTTTAGAATCGTTTGTAGATGTTTGATTAATGATTTTCGATTCGTCTTTAGTTGCACGGTTCAGAAATTGCAATTGTTTAAACATGTGGTGAATATTAAAATTTGTCAGTTTCACTCGACTTTAAAGTCGAGTGCTGATCATAATTTTAAGATTTTTTATTTTTACATTGACTATAAACGAAATACTATATCATTTTCCGTATTAAAAAATTAATTTAAGAAAGTTTGATGCCAGATTCACATAATTAAACTCGTGACATTTCTAATAACAGTAAGTCTTTAAGCGAAGATAGATCGATTTCGATCTTAAAGCGAAATATTACGAAAATGCGCAGCATTTAACTTTAAGATATTTCATATCCGCTTTTGCAGTCTCTTTTAGAATTGTTTGTAGATATTTGTAGTGATTTTTGATTTGTCTTTAGTTGCACAGTTCAGAAATTGCAATTGTTTAAACATATGATTCATGGATATTGAAATTTGTCTGTTTCAAAGATTTCTTAAATCTTCTTTTTTCAGATGATTCAGTCTCGTAGTAGTTGTTTGTAGCAATTGCAATCGAAATTTATATTGATGGTAAAAGCAGATTTAAAAAATCTTTAAGGTTGACAAAAATCTATTTTGACCATTTTTTTAAACGCTTGTTATTTCTAAACCGTACAACGACAAACGAAACGAAAATCAGTACAATCAATTACAAACGATTTTTAAAAGACTGCGAAGTCGGATTTGAGATATCTTAAAGTCTAGTGCATTGTTTAAATTTTTTAATATTTTATTTATAAAAGTTTAAACAAAATTTTTAATAGATATAATTATAAACAAAATGCTATCATTTTTAGTATTAAGAAATTAATTATTTATAAATCCAGTGTAATGTTCATATAGCTGGTTTACGCGATATCGGTTTATTTTAGAGATTCGGCGAGTTGCGCGTCTGCGAAAAAGTTATGTAGAAAATACTCTCGGCTTTTAAATTTCGATTTTTACATTGACGAGGCTTGCGATCGAAATGCTGTCGTTTTCCGTATTAAAAAATTAATTTTTAAACTCAGGTGCCACATTAATATATTAAAGACACGATATTTCCAAGTGCGAATAAAAATCTTTAAGTGAAGATAGATCAATGTCGATTTCGAAACGAAAAATTTAAAAAGTGTCAAACTTTAAGATATTTAAAATTCACATGCTCAGTCGTGTTTAGAATCGATTCTTATTGTTTAGAACATTCCCAATCGAAAAATATATTTATGGAAAAAGCAGAATTCGAAAATCTTGAAATTTGAAGAGAATCAACTTTGACAGTTTTCTTTAAATTACTGTATTTTCCAAAGCGTACAACTACAAGCGAAACGAAAATCACTTCCCACAATTAGAAACGATATTAAATAATACTACATATTTGCTTTATTTTAAAGTTGGGTCACAATTTACCTGCGCATGAAGTTAGTATTCCATTTTTGGAATATAAAAATTTTTTAAGTTGTTCCGAATTGTTCTAGACTTGTTTTAAATTGTTCCGGAAGATTAAATTTATATGACAAACATTTTCGCGGAAAATCGAAGAAATTGATTTTTTGGTTTGGCACCCCATTTTTCGAAAATCAAACTTTTTAAGGTTGTTCTAGGTTGTCTAATTGTTCTAAACATTGTTCCAAAGTATTAGTTTGATTGGTCAAAAAGTTTAGAAGATATATAAAAAAACGAAAAATAAAACTAATACTTTGGAACAATGTTTAGAACAATTAGAACAACCTTAAAACGTTTGATTTTCGAAAAATGGGGTGCCAGACCAAAAAATCAATTTTTTCGATTTTTCGCGAAAATGTTTGTTATATAAATTTAATCTTTTGGAACAATTTAGAACAAGTCTAGAACAATTCGGAACAACTTTAAAAATTTTAAAATTCTAAAAATGGGGTGCTAACTTCATGCAGGTCTCGGCGTGATCTTTGAGATGGAAACTTACTGGCTCGTGTGCGCGGATATAAAGGAAACTTTCCTTTCGCGAAAAAATAATATGCATCGTGTGCGCGGTGCCTTTTATGTGCGAGCATTTCTCTTATCTGCATATTTCGTATTACGTTCTTATTGTCACGAATATGTGTGGAGAAAGAGACTGTTTCTGCGGAAAAAAATCACTCTTCTTTAAAACGATGATGCACACAGCAAACTTAGATGACCCCGTTTTTCCGTCGTTATTAGCACCTTCTTGTGTCATTTAACCGATGCGACGTTATCATGTGTTGTAATTATTTCACTCTTTGCGTGGCATTCTCGTTTTCTCTCTGTGGAAAACACAAGAGACAGATATATTTCTCGGAGAAGATATTGCACGGAGAAAGAATGCGGATGCATTATTCTCTTGGCACGTGCCATGTAATTCTGCGGAGCGCGCCTGTATTAATAGTCTCGCGAAATCGAGAGGTAAAAATGATCAAAATGTTGGCGCCAACGGATAGAAATCTTTATTGCGAACAACGGTGGAACGATAGTAATCTCATTCTGCAACGGTCGCTTTGGTAAAACGATCCCGCGCTTCATTTAACATTTAAGATACCGCCGATCTCTTGGCGCGATAATATCTATTTGTAAATTAACACTCTACACTGGGCCAAGTCGCTTGCTGGACGTTTCTATACTTCGTGCACACGTCGACGCTACCGTGACGGAACGGCAGCTGCACGATGTTGATATCGTAGTCGGTGTTGACGAGGACGGCGTTGAGCGAGGGTAGGTGTAATTTGTTGACGATGTCATCATCATGAAGCTCGCCGGTCACCGGGTTCATGTAGGAGCAACGGGTCTTCGCTAGCACGCAGGCGGTAGTGTTGACGAACAATTGCGCGAGCTGCATGTTCGTGTAGTTTGCGTAGCTGATGTTGAAGTTAGGTAACATTCTTGCGGCCTCGTCGACACACTCTCTAAGCTACGGAAAGTATTCGTCAGCTCTCGCGGGAATTTTGAATTTCCCTCGTGATTCTCGAGTTAATTTTTTTTACACCGTGCAGTAGAAACCCTCGTCGTGCATGATAGAAGAAACTACAATATTGTATGATACAGGATGAGTTCGATAATTACACGTGAGATTTCGTACGATCTCGTGCGGAGACGTATCGTCGATGTCGTATTTTTGATTAGGTAAAAAGTCATGGCCTTAAGAATGTGGAGCTCGCGGATTTATAGGTCCTGGACGAACAGTAGTTACATTAGTCTCTCTAATTATGCAGACGCTATTATTCTTTACACGTGTCTTCTGTGCTAGAATTTTCAATAATAAAAAAGGACTTTGTTGCTTGATTTGTGTTATTCCTTGAAACGTTGATCCCCTGACGTCTATAGCCTGAATGCCCTGAATAATTAATTTACAATAATTTCTCATTATTTACATTATTTACATTATTTATACATTATTTATCATTAATTTAAATATTTACAATTAGTTAAAAAAATGTGCATACATGAAAAACAGACAAATAAAAAATAATCGATTAGTAAATGTGTGTTTTCTTGCAAATTTTTAAAGATATTGACCAAATTAGTGCTAAATACTTAAGCTTTTTTCTCTAATATTAACTTATGACTATTAATAGCAAGTATATATATATATATATATATTATAAACGTGGTTGTAATCATACAAGTGGAGTTATATTGACGATAGCATTCAATGAGGCCGCGTTGTATTAAGAGCAGTAAAGCAAAATAGAGACAATTATGTTCTAAGTAACAGTTAATAGCTATTAGTTCAGAGTTCAATCTTACCAAACTATTCTTATTGACTTGACGAATGCATTCTAGGAACGAGCAGTAAATTAACATAGGACTTCGCGTATTAGGCATGCTGGTCGCGTTCTAGAATCGAAAATGTACAAATATTATATATATTTGTAAATTCTTGAATCGTGAAATTTTCATAAAAGTTATTAGAAAAATAAACGGTCGATTTTTCATGCACTTACTCGCAAATAAGTCTGACAGTGGCCGTAACTGGTGTTATTGAGATACTCGTCGGCGCACGTGGACATGGCTGCTAGCATAGAGAAGCCCTGTGGTAAGATGCTCGCGCGAAAGAAGCATCCATAACAAGCGTCGCGTCGCATATTCGCATTAGTACCTTGCTGCGACTGGTTACACAACTGATTTAGTAGTTCAGGTATTTTCACTCTGGAAAGGAAAAGCACATCGTTACACAATACGCGCGGAATAGGTGCCCAAAAATATTTTTTTTCTTTTTCACGCAAAAAGAAAATAATATGAACAATCAGAATATACTGTTTAACCGCGGTCAAGGTTCCCAGAAATTTTCCAAAGTTATTATGCACCAGGGTTTCGACTAAGTTCGCACTAGAAATCGAGAATAGTATTAAAATCCCGACTAACGCCGCTCTCGTCATTGTTGCACGGGATCGTTTGGCAACTTCCTTCCGAATAGCATCGGGCTGGTACTTTTATACTGATGTATAAATCTGATAAGACTTTGCCAGGGATGTATCTACGTTCGGTTCTATTTGTTTGAAAAAATAGACTATGATTCGTAAAAATAAATAAATTCGCGCTAAAATATACATATTTTGCATTAAATTTTTCTTTCATTATCTGTATTTGAATGTTATGCGTTAGTACAAACATATATCTTTACATCAGATTATAATTTTGCAACGCTAATTTTGCATTTAATAATTGAGAAAACCTGTACAGAGCGCTTTAATTTGAATTATAACTCAACTTTACTTAATTTTTTGCTTCTAATTCAAAGATAAAAAATTGACATTAATATTAATTAAACGAGTCTCTTTCGTCCGACTCTTTCTCTATCGGATTTTTTTTATTGTACGTGGTCGGCTGCTCACGGCCCTGGCAGGGATGAAGTTGCAGCTAAAGCGTAACGATTTCTATTATCTGCGACCTCGTGCACGAGGTCGTGACACGTGGTTGATCATCGTTGTCTCGTGAAAATGGACCGTGAATAGGAGATCTAGGACAGTATAGTGAATCTCACGATTCCGGCTATAACCGACACGAATCCTACATCGGGCAAAATGTGTCGCATTATCGCTAAAAGTGCGGGATGCATCAACGTCGCCCAATCATCGTTGCACTTTCGCAGCGACACGCGATATGGCGTGCGCGACCGTTTATTTATTTTCCGATCGAAGAGAGAGCCTCCTACGCCCAAAAATCCCTTTTGCCAACGATTGTTTCCCACCGGAAGTGGGAATCCCGAGCTATGTCGGCCACGGTCAAAAAATACATGATTCCGAATAATATTGTTGCAGCCTTTGTGTCATATTGCGCAACAAGCGGTATAATTTTACATATATAATTAAGTGGTTCATTCGGCATTTTACCTGTTTCGAAAGATTGAGCATCATGAATCGGGAATGTTTTATGCTTACGTTCTCTCTCACGTTCTCGAAATACTCATGATTCCCCGAGTAAACTCTTTTAACTCGAGCGACGCGTCGCCGTTCTGGGAAATGCACGCGAGAATCGGAATATCCCATGTGCGATTCGCCGACACGGGACAAAAGTTTCTCCATATACCGGCGCGCTATCTAATAGGAACTTTTAATCAGACATCGCCATTTAGGTGGAATGTCGGAAAATCAGCGCGCTTAAATGCGCGTTGTGCTCGCGACGAAAATGAAAAGGCAAACGGTGTCGGTGTCGGGTGCTCTCTCTAATTTCGGGATCCACGTGGAAAAGTGGGCCATGTGTGCGCGAGAAACGACACACGCGTCGCGGCTATTTGTGCGCCAGACAGACGCGGAGGGACGAATGTACGCGAACGGGGAGCGTTAAGAGCAAAATAGATAGAGAAACGAAGAAAGAGAGACAGAGAGAGGGAGACGAACGCGTGGAAAGCGGTGCAACCCCGCCGGCCAGAATTAGAATGACTCACGGGATTATTTGGGTTTATGTAATCCGAGAAATTTTCGGCGACCGCCGTCGCGACGTCGGTGACGTCCTCTCGCTGCTGCGTCACATCCCTGTCCGACAATGTTGATAGATATACACGCGTGTCGATAATCGCGGTGTCATGTTGCATTTTCGGTATATTTTCTTCGCGATTACGCAGAATAAGTAGATTTGCCGCGAGTTGTGTTGGATATCGGCTAAAAAAATATTTCAAGAAATTTCGTGTAATTTATTCTTCGTAAATTAGCGAATTTTGTCGTTAAATTGTTCCGATATCTCAAGATACGTCAAAAGAAAATCTACAGTAATCGAATCTATTTTACGTCATAATAATTTTTAACGGAAACTATAAAGATCGTATCGAGTAATATATACGAGCGTTCGAAATCGTATTTCACCGCTGATCGTATGGAGCGTGGTTCGTACTTAGCAAGTGCAAAGAGCGATGAAAGCATGCATCGCCGTGTCGTAAAAATATCTCTCGGTCATAATTCGAAGCTTTACATTTAACGTCTTCGCGCGTAAATGCGTTTCAAAGTGTCGCGGGACACAGAAGACACAGCGTCTCCCGTGTTCTCGCGTTCTCCCTCCTTCTCTTCCGATTCGGAACTCAATCAAAGCGAGAGCTTAAGGATTCAGGTTGCGGCGCGTGTTGCGCGACATCGAACGACCCTTTCCGTAATTGCTCTTTCTGGACTCTGCGAAGGAATCTAATTACGACGGCGTCTCAAAGAAATGCACGCGTCGTAACGTATCCCTCCCAACAGCTGCATTCTCTTCCCAATTTCTTCGCGTCGCCGCTCTCTCTTTGAGCTCTTTACTAAAAACCAATTAAAGTCGTAGTGTCTCTGAGGCATCGCCGCGATGACAGGTGCGTCAGCCAAATATCTCGTCGTTATGACTGCGTCTAATTTGGTATGCCGCGGACAGTTCGATCCTACCGCGAATTTCACGAGCGCTTTATTTCGCGGGATGAAAGAAAAAAACAACGTTCAGCCGAAGTTCATAAACGCGTTTATGGCACCAACGAAAGATTAATCCTGGTTAAGATTATGCGAGAAAGAGTGTCATCTCTACTGGATACTTTCCAATTACCAGGACGAGAGTTTTACAACTCGACTGATTATTCGTCAGCAATCTCCGTTGGGCGTTCCTCAGCGTCGAATTAGGAGAGATGCGTACGCGCCTGATTATAAAAGGTTAAAATTTGTTTTACTTTTTATCGCGACGTGCGTTTCTTCCTTGCAGCCGCGCTACTTTCTCCAGACGTGATGAGAGAGGGACGTCTCAATTATTTTTCCTCCCCACGGGCTTCTCTTTCGGGATCCTTTCTGGCCGTCTGATAAGTGCATTAGTTGAACCCGGAAATTGGTCGACACCCCGTGGCGTGTGCGCGCATTAACCCCACCATTTGATGCCCGTCGCTTCAGAGGCGCGAGAAGTCGACGCAAAAAAAGAAGAAAAAAGAAAAATGAAATGTGCGCGAGAAAAAGAAAGGACGACACACTATGTATACGAAGGAAAAGGTGATCCCACGCGTGTGAGCCGTACATCAACAGATTTTAACCTACATACACTGGCGTTTTCCTTCGAGCGCGTTTCGCCCTCATGGAATGCTTTTAGCTGCAGGAGCGCACAATGCCAAGTGTTCTGTGTCGAATCGCTGAAAGAAATAGCTCAAACGGTCCTTAACGCCGGAATCGCAATCCCTTTCTTTCCCGTCTTCGCGATTAAATTATCTCTAAATCGATGTTTATTGCTTATTTCTTTCTTCAGTCGAGGATTGTGAAATTATATGTTCTTGAAACTTATTATTTTAGGTAATTTTAAATATGTATTTTTATTTTGCAATATATTTTTTCTATCGTAAAAATGTTATTGCATTTCGTCTTTTTTTTTGTTTCATTTTTTTACGACTTACTTTTTTCAATAATCTCAAATTTATATCTTACCGGATGTAGGATTATTCCAGAGACAGTCGCGTTTGCCGCAATAATTTCATCTTCATCTTCCTTTAATTCGAAAACTCGGTGAAGGAAAGAAATATAAGCCGTTCTGGGGTATTCTCGGAACCGAACGTAGGAATCGACGGACGTCCGAATTCGTGGGCGGGTATTACACGAATAAATGTGAGCATGTAATGCGGCGATAAAGGCGAACCTTTTCCCGTAATACGATCGTATTCGTCACCGCGTGACCTGACATATCTACCACCGCACATGCACATACATTTTCCTCGGCCCTGTGCACCCTAATTCGCAGGGATCCCGGCAACGGATCTCGTTTTACGCGCACGAGTCGTTAGGTTTTCGAGAGCGCGGCCCAACCCCGTCTGTAAGAAATCGACGCAGTACATGGCGATAAAAATCAGTTGGCCACGCAAAGGGTGTATGCATTAATCCCGAGAGTGTAATTCAGAAATGCAATTCATGTCGTTATATCTTCGATATATATTAGATCCATGCAGTAGTGCTGCATCCTGAATACGCGATAAATTTAAATGAAATCTTACGTTCGTGTGAAATAATTGTGAATTTAATGTATTATAATTGTCATCTGTTACACTCTATTATTTATGTTATGCGCGCGACTTTATTATCGTTTACCGTATCCACAAAACACGACAAAGCTCTATTCCCATTAATATTGCGGGCGCATTACGCATAATGAGAGAACGCCCCAGTATAATGCTTTTAAATTTTTAACAAATAACGCAAATTATACCGCTTTCTATGCGTTATACATCGCTTGCATGCGTCAGTCGAAAAAATATGACCAACCGTATTCACGTATGCGAATTGCATCTCAAAGAGATTGTGCGCGGTTTACCATTAAAAACTTGATGCGATACTTTATAATCTATTAATGTTTCTCTTTTCTCATTTATTATATAAATCCGCGACACAAATACTCAAGGCGTTCCGCGAAAAATGAATATTTTGTTTACGCGTTACATTGCTGTATTTCGCATGACGCATATACCTGGATGTTGCATCGAATTAGTAATCACAGTGACGATGCACATCCAGTGTTTTGATATACCTATCACGATATTTAAATATCTATCTATGCATATAAAATTGCATGTCACGACACGTGTAAAACTATTGCACATATTTATCATTAAAAGCATCAATTAACAGTTTCAATGTTATTTTTGCCGTCTCGCTTAATATACTCCGTGTTTCGAAAATGACTTACACGCAATATAAATCGCAGTTTGATTGTACGAGAAGCATGTCACAGCATTTCAAAATGTGCCGGTACATTCTCGTTAATTTTAACGATCTTATCGAAGCATTTTCATTGCGGTCTTTCTTTATTTTCACACTCACATTTCATTCCGCTCTATTTACATCGCATTTCGCTGCTTCATCATTTCGTATGCAAAAGCAAAGAAAATTTGAAATATTATCGCTATCGATCTTAGCGCAATATTTTTTTTCGTGTCTTTATACGTTTATTTGTAAGGATATTATTTTATAATTTTGAAATTACATCTTCTCACAATCAGTGTATAGTTTCT